GGCTGTGTGGGTGATTTCGTGAATCCTCCCAATGGCCATATGGTAGGGGGTGTCCCCAGCTTACAGGGGAGAACATTGAGGCTGACGAGGTTGGCAGCAGCACAGCCAGGAAGTGGCAGAGCTGGGATCAAACCCAGGCCCCTTGTGGGGCATGTGGAGTTTTGTTTTTTTGAAAAAAAAATTTTTTTAATAATTACTTTTTTGTATTTTGGCCACGCCACGTGGCATGTGGGATGGTTCCCCGACCAGGGATCAAACCCGGGACTCTACAGTGAAAGTTCTAAATCCTGACCGCTAGGCCACCAGGAAACTCCCCACATGGAGTTCTTGAAGCTGTCTAAAAGGCAGAGTGAGAGGAAGGCAGAGGGCGTCCTGAGGGGTGCGTGCAGAAGCCACCAGTACACAAGAGGGGGTGGGCCCCCTGGGTCCGGGTGTCTTCCTGTGTGTCCTCCAGGAGTTGGGGCACGTGCATCTGAGATCTCTCTGGGAATCGGGAGCACAGGGAGTTATGGCCTGGGCCTTCTCTGTGGGCTTGCACAGAGACAGAAGCAAGCTGGGCTCCGTGCCAGCCCAGTCCCTCCCATGCTCTGTGAGGCCCCTCCCAGTGCTCTGTGAGGCCCCTTCCAGTATGTGAGTCAGTCTGTTTTAGAGAAAAACATGTCACATTTGCCAGCCCAGAAGGATTATCAGCAAGGTTGGAGCTGCTTTTATGATTAGGTCAGCTTTGCCTAGCCTCCTGGGGCTTATGTTCTTAGAAATTAGCTGTGGCAAGTTTCTAGATGGTTCTAGAGCTGGGATTCTGGGATTGAGCCAGGCAACTTCATGGGTTTTGTTGCTTTCTTTTGGTATGGGGCGCCCATCAGTCTCCCCTGATATTTCTCTGGCCTCCCCTCCCCAGCCTGAGGGCCCAAGAGGCTACTGAGGTGGGTCCTGTCAGTGCCATCCAGGCCAGTTACAGGATGGGAGGCTGCCGGGCCAGACGGCCTTACCTTTGCTGCTGAGTCGTGCGTGTTGCTGCTTACCCTGCTGCCCTGTGTTGTAAACCAGGAGGGAGCTGGGCCAGCAGGCTCTGGCAGGTGAAACAGCCTCAAAGGGACCTGCCGCCTGAAGGGGGTGTTCACCTTGACCTCCCGCAGCTCTTCAGGAGCTGGGAGGGGTGACATTCACTCGCAGGGGCCGGTGTTCTCCTGTCTGATTTGTAGCGTGGTTCTCTGCAGTTAACCCTTCTCTAATGGCTGTTGTAGAGCCAGATGGGGTTTAATAAATCCCTGACCTCTTAACCCAGCAGGGCCGGAAGGATTTGAAAACACCTGGCACCTTAGTCTTCTAGCAGCTGTGATATAGTTCTCAAAGCCAAGTGAATGGCAGCAGCATCAGGTGGAGGTTGCCGCGTATGTGGAGGAGAAAGTGTTTACTGGTAGCTGTTGGGGAGGACATGTGAGTCAGTGAAATCAAAATTTGTGGAACCCCTGTGGTTGGTTTTTTTTTTTTTGTAACCCACATAGTTTCAAATCACTTCTTGCTCAATCTGGGTAAAAACCTTGGCTGACTAATTTGCCTGTTGCCCCAGGAGCCTTTCCGAGTAGGCAGTAATCCATGGAGAAGACACATGATTTGTCACTGAGCCGCTGGGTTTAAGTAAATTTCTTAGTAGCTGAAGTTTATCCCTTTAAGCACCAAAACTTGTGTTTCAGTGATGTTGGATGGAAAACTTTCCAAAATGTGTCACGCACAGATTCTTTAATAGAGGGTGTGCCGGCTGGTTTAGCATTCTGATGACTCGGGGTGGTGATTAGGACCAGCCCTCTATTGCAGCTTTGGTGTGGCTAGGCCTGGGGGAGCTTAGTCCCTGCACTAACCCAGCCTAGGAAAACGGCTCTCAGTTTGCTTTCGTCAGCTCTGTTCTTGCTGCTGCTGTTCTCCCAGCCTCTGAAAGCACCCCACTCCCTCCCAGTATCGGCCAGGCTCTTCAGACTTGTGGGATTGGGGTCCTGGGTTCCAGTGGGTCCTTGCCCCTGACTTGCTGTAGGCCCTCGGCTGCACTCTGTTCTCTTTCTGCGTCTCTCTTTTCCTCTCTGAAAGTTACGGAATTGGGCAGTTTCTGAAGTTTGCTTTTGCTCTGATAGGGCTGTGGTTTTCAGGATTTGGCGAGGGCCCTGCAACTCTCCCGCCTGGCTCTGCTGAGGCCTAGGAAACAGTGGGCATTTGGATCCTGCTGCAGATTGAGCCTCGCAGACACCCTGGGGGCCTTTGGGAATCATTCGCATCTTACAGAGAGAGAAAGTAAAGCTCAGAAACGGGACTCGACATGCACCAAGGCACCCAGCTTTTAAGCGCTGCCGGGGCTGGAAGGGGGTCGCCAGGCTCCACATCGTATGCTTCTTGTACTGCGCATGCTCAGAGGTTCCCCGGTGGGTGGCAGCCTGTGGGGAGCTGGAAGAAGGCTTTGTGTGCCTCGCTGTCCAGCCTTCTAGCTCTGCCCCCTGTTTGGGACTGTCCAGTCCTGTCTGCGGAGAAGACTAGAAATCTTCCTGTCTCACGTTCCCAGCTCCACTTGGAAGCTCCTGGAGACGGTCCCAGACAGGCAAGGCAGGGAGGGCCTAGTAGGTAGAGCCAGGAACCCAGCAGGCGGGAGGGGTGCATGAAGCAGGTGGGAGGGAGCTCTCAGAAGGGCACTTCATGGGCATATGGTGCCCCCACATCGGGGAATACTCTGCCAGTCTGAGCCCTTTAGAGGATGGTGCAGGGAGATCAGCGACCTCTGAGGTTCTGTCCACCCCTGAGAGTCCCCATCTTGGGACCCACTGGATCCTTTTACTGTTCTGTTCCTTCTGATCACAGCAGAGAAATGCATGGGGGAGGAGCTGGGGAAGGTCGCAGGGCAAAGGGACAACATCGTGAGACCCCTAAGCAGATTGAACTTCGTCATGGCTCCTGCTCCCAGTTCCAGGGTGAGCTGCTCATTGAAAGCCTTACTGCCTGTCTGCTTTCTGCTCTAGAACCTAGGCCTTCTCCCTCAGATATGTGCCTCTCACCAGCCAGGGAGGATCCCGCTTCTTGGACCCCCGCTGGGCCAGTGATGCCCAGCCCGCTGAGTAGCCCAGTGCAGTGGTAGAGCCAGGCTTTGGCTTTCCAGCTTCCTGGTTATGGGTTCAAGCTTAGTGCTCCCTGTCGGGTTGGCTTGGGAGATGAAGGATGCCTCCAAGGGCTGTATCTTTTCAAATTCTTCACTTCTAGAACCTGAGAATTGAAGAAACAGGCTCAGGAAGGGGCTGGGGCGTGGCTTCAAATTAAACGGAGTTTAGCGGGGCCAAAACCTTAGCCCTAGTGTCCTACACACCTAGCCCCCCCCCGCCCCCCCGCCCCCCGCATTATTAGAGCGCCCTGATCCAGTTCCATCGTCCTCTTGGGGCTGAGGGTAGATAAGGGTGGCAGGAAGCATGGCCGCACAGGTTATTCTGTTTGGGGAGAATAGTCCAGAAATGAAAACCAGTACCAGCCAGTGTGAAATTTTCTGATTTGGGTCAGAACCAGCAGCTCCCTATTGTGTCCACCAGTGGGACCCGTGACCCCAGGCCGGCAGTAGGGAAGGATCTGGGCAGCTTCCAGAAGCATTTGCCATAACCAGGTGGTTGCTGGTTTGCCGACCGTTGTAAGGGTGGCACAGCAGATTGGAGGCGTCCATCATTTCCTGAGCACCTTCCCAGCTCCTGGATCCAGGCTGGGCCCAGTGGAACAGAGAGGAACATGCCCAGGGCCTGTCCTTGGGGAGCTCCAGTGGAGGGACTGCGAGGAAGGGTTTCAAAACCCTTCCCACTGTGTCACCTTGAACATGGGCAGTGCTGGATTGGAGGACGCAGTCACCGGGAGGGGGAGGAGGTAGCAGGCATGGCGGGCCATCTACGCCAGCTGTCCCCAGGGCAGGGCTCCCTGAAACCATAATGGCACGGGTTTATTACCGTTTAAAAATATAATGGCTTAAAACCAAGTGAGAAACCTGGAATTAGTCACTGTGAGAAGCAAGACCTTCATTGAAAAAAAAATTTCCTGTATTTTAAACTAATTTGGGATTTACAGAAAAGTCACAGAACTAGTACAGTTTCCCCACCACCCTTACTTGACTTCTCGCGTTAACGTCTTTCGTGCGGTTCTCAGAACCAGAGAGAGGCTCACCACTGGTGCGGGACTGTTAGCTAAAGGCTTTTCCCACTTTCATCGGTGTTTCCTCTGCTGTTGTCTTTCTGTCCCACGATCCCACTTTGCGTCCAGTTGTCATTTCTCCTCCTCCACCTGTTCCTCCTCCTGTGGCCTCCTGTCAAATGGCCCTTAATTTAGGTTCGTCAGACGTTTTCTCATGATTGGACTGAGGTTATGCTGTTTTGGCAGGAACCACAAAAGGGGTGTTATTTCCTTCTCGGAGCGTCTTTTCTTGGGGTTCCTGATGTTGGTTGGTCCTGTTACTGGTGGTACTGGTCTGGACCACTCAGAGTGGTTTCTGCTGGACTTCCGCTCTGCGGGGAACCACAGAGCCCTCCTTTTGATGAAGCTGGTGAGTTCATAATTCTTTCAGGTTTGTCTTCAGAGTCTCTGATTGTCCAGGAGAACGTTTTTTGACAGCCAAAGCTTCATTCTCGATACCTTGTAAAAAGATGAGGTTCATCCCAGCAGTGTTCTTTAGTGTCGCTGCCCCATCCCTGCCTACCGTTCCTTCCCCTCCCCAAGGCCCAACTTAGAGTTTGACTTTTGTCGCTTGATTTTCACAGGGGAAGTGATGGCGGGCCGGCCTCTGGCTTAACATCAAGTATTCAGATTCTCTTTCTTGGTTAGTTTGGGTCTGAGAGGAGTGAACATCAGATCTCTTTGCTCCTCCTTCCAAATACTCTTCATCGGGATCTTTTCTTTAAAAAAAGAAAAAAACAGAACTCCTCACTGCACAGAGGCAGCTGCGGGAAGTGAAACCACAAAGGGGCCTCGGCAGCACCCGTGTCTTCCTTACTCGGTGTTTCTCCAGCTCCTGTTTCTGCTAAGTCGGCTCCGCACATTAAGCTCTGCCCTCTCTTCTCCCCAAGTGCCTCCCTGCCCAGCGGTCCAGTGAGCAGCCCCAGGAGCATCCCCACCGCGGTGCCCGTGCAGATGTCGAAGCCCAGCAGGGTCCAGCAAGCTCTCGCAGGTAGGCAGGCTGCTCCCTGGTCCAGCTTCCAGAACAGACTGTGTCTGGCAAGGGCCAGGACTTGGGGGCAGGGGAGAATGCGTGGGGTAGGGGGAGGAGATTGTGGGGCAGGGGTCTTGTTACCCTGTGTGTTCTCATGGAAACCCAGAGAGGCTCCTTGTGGGGCGGTGCCTTTTTTCAGTGATGGTGTATCCCCCAGCGGGTGAGCCTGGGTGCCTGTTCGTTTGTCTCGGTGTTGGGCGGGTGGGGGGCGGTCATGCCTGATGACGGTGGGTGCCCTGGTGTGGCTTTTCCCCATCTTTTACGTTTTCACATCACCTTGAATTACGGTTCAGGAGTCACTTTTCTGTCCCAAAATGCTTTAGGCATTTCCCTAAAGGGGCCCCCTGGGGAACTCATAGAACTATTTTGACTGGAGTTAACATTTTGAGTAAGTGCTTTGGTGTCTCTCTAGATCTTTTCTTAACCTTACACCTTTGAACTTTTTTTTAATTGATTAATTAATTTATTTATTTTGGCTGCGTTGGGTCTTCGTTGCTGCGTGCAGGCTTTCTCTAGATGTGGTGAGCGGGGGCTACTCTTCGGTGCAGTGCACAGGCTCCTTGATGCTGTGGCTTCTCTTGTTGCAGAGCACGGGCTCTAGGTGCGTGGGCTTCAGTAGCTGTGGCACGTGGGCTCAGTAGTTGTGGCTCGCGGGCTCTAGAGCACAGGCTCAGTAGTTGTGGCGCACGGGCTTAGTTGTTCCGCGGCATGTGGGATCTTCCCAGACCAGGCCTCGAACCCATGTCCCCTGCATTGGCAGGCAGATTCTTAACCACTGTGCCACCCGGGAAGCCCCAAACTGTTTTTAAAATTCCTCTTGCGGGTATTAGGAAGCCACTGAAAGTTATTTTTTAACTTATGGGAAATGTAAAATCGTACCGGAAGATACACTGAGGAGTCTGGTGAGCCTCCATCATTTAAAGATGGAGGCAGGGGAGTGAGCTAACCAGACTGTGTGTTGGGTGAGTCACTGTGGTAGCACAGGGGGGATTGGAGGGGACCAGGCCTAGAGGCAGGGAGACCCTGTGGACCTGGACTTCATGCCTCAGGTGGGCCAGCCACTGACTAGGGTCGTGGCAGTAGATGGAGGTAAGGACTTCTGACTTGGTGGTTGGATTGGTTGTGAGAGGGAAGGAATAGATTGAGGCCTGTTGTACAGCTGCCGACAGAGATAATAAATCATCATAATTAAGGAGGAAGGACTAGGGGTTTTGCATGTGTGGTAACTCATTTCATCCCAATAGCAACTCTGTGGGGGAGGAACTTTGATTCCCATTTTATGTTTAAGGAAAGTGAGGCTCAGAGAATTCCGAAAACCTCCCAGGGCCAGCCAGCCAGCCCTTGGCAGAGCTGGGATTCAGACCCAGGCATTCTTGGCCTCAAAGTCTGGTCTCTTCGCTGTGAGGCGATGAGGCGATGGGTGGGGTGATGGCTGTGGCTGTTGGCAGGCGGAGCTGTCCCAGAGGCAGGGAGGTTTGGATGAGCAGTTCAGAGGAGCGGCGTGGGGTGGAGTGGGGCGGCCCGTGCCCCCCCGGGAGTGAGCTTACGGAGACCTGGTTGGATGCCGGGAAGAAGAGCCCTTGAAGAACGTGGAAGGACCAGTCAGGGTGGTGAGGACGGTAGAGTGGGGCCGGGAAAGCCCCAGGAGGGGCGGCTTTCAGTCTCAGCTGCTCAGCCATCAGCCCTTTGCTGGGGCAGAGAGAACAGTGAGCAAAAATGTGGTGACTAGGAAGTCCCTGCCCAGTTTAGGTCTTCTTGTGGCATCCGACGCCACAGGTGATTCAGGCCTGTGTGTGTGTGTGCGTGTGCGTGTGTGCGTGTGGTGCTGGTCTTGTTGGAGAGAGATTGTGGGGGAATGGGCCCAACCTGCACACGCCCAGCTCCGTTCAGCTCTGCGGTCACTGAGGCTTTAATACCAATGCTGTGATCACCTCTGCACACAGCTCAGAAGTGGTCTGGGTGCTGAGGAGCTCTCGAGGCTGGACCCTCTGCAGGCCACATCCTCTGTGTCCCCTGCCGCCTGGGCTCTCACAGCGATCCTGGAGGCAGGCAGGTATTTTAATCTCCATTTACTTGTCAGGGAAACAGACCTCAAAGGTTCAGGAACTGGGTCCCAGTGAGGAAAGAGTAGTAGACGAGCCGGTGGCCAGATGCCGCCCCGCCTGAACACGTGGCTCTGGCTCGTACCTGAAGCTGGGACCGCTTTGTGGGGCACCAGAGAACCAGGGATCCTGCACCCACCCCCAAGAAGCAGGGTCTGGAGAGACCTCTCAGCTGGGCTGCAGTTACGGATTCGATTATGGATTTGGGAACATGCTCGCCGCAGTGAGGTGAGCACCTGGGCACAGGGGTCTGCAGGTAGGTCTCCAGCCTGCGGATGTACTGCGGAAGGGCTGCGCGCCCCTCTCGCTGGTGGAGGATCCACCTCCGTGTCAGCCAGGCGCCTCAGGTGCTGGCTTTGCTGCCTGCGGCCCGGCCAGGGCCTCTTCTTAAGCGGGGTGGGGAGGAGTGGGCCTCCGAGACCGGGGCCAGGCTCCCACCCTGCGAGGGAGGAGGAGTGTCTGCATTTTACGCTACCAAGACCTGCCCAAGACCAGTCAGCCAGTGGGGAGTGGTACTGGTCTTGAGCCCAGCTTGGTAAGACCAGGGCCAGCAGAGGGTAGGCTTGGACCTGAGCCCTGGTCACTAGACGGAAGGCCAACGCTGGACATCAGAAAGGGGGTGTCTGCACATCTGCCCATGTGCAGGACCTGCCAGGGGCTCCGGCAGATCAAGACGAGAGCAGGAAAAGCCGTGGCTATCCGAGCTGTTACGGCGATTTGGGGGGGCTGTCCCTGAGCCCTTGCTATTGGGGAAGATGTGATGGCCCCTCTTGGTCCCCCCCCCTCCCCCCCCGCCCCAGACAGCCACAAAGAACCGAGCCGGTTTCCCTGTGCCATGCGGCCGCTTCCCACCGGCTATCTACCTTACCCTCCCCCCCCGCCGCCCAATCCTGCCCACTGGACGCCGCTTTTGTGAAGTGTTAGCTCTGGGGTGATTTTCACACTTTTTCACAAGAAGGCAGACCTGCAGGGCATGGGCTGCTTGTCTGTGGGCATCTAAGTTAAGACTTCGCTGTCTGTGTCTTGAATTTGGAGAAGCAGGTCCTGCATTGAAAAGGGCAGGAGCGTTGTTCACGCTGGCCTCTTGTGGTGGCCTCAGGGATGTCTGCTCCCCAGCAGGCAGGGACCGGGCACCTCTTGGAGCAGAGTGAAGGAGACAGAGTAGGAGGGGGACGTGGCTGTTTCAAATGGGCAGTCAGGGAGGGGCTGCCGCTCAGGGAGGGGCAGCCAGTGCAGAGGGGTCTGCTTGATGGGCGGGGAACTGGTGCATGTTGGGGCAAGTACAGAGCTCCAGGGTTCTCCTAAGGAATTGTTCTCTTTTTTTCCATCTATCTGCCCCCTGTGCCTGCTTGTCATTTGGCCCACCCGATGTTTAGTTCCAAGGGAACCCACAATTTGAGCCCAGGAACAACCTTGGGATGCTGGTGGCATCGAATTACCTGATAAGCGGGCACCCAGTGTCCAGCCTTGATCTTCTGATGTGCACTTTGGTGTCTCCTGCGGAGTGACCACCACAACGCACCCTGTGCTGCCCAGGCTGCCGGCCTCTGCTTCTGTCCCTAACTGGGTGCATTTGCCTCATTGAGAGCCTTCATTCTCTGGTGGAGGCCACAGTGGGGCCCAGTGGATCCCGAGGCCACATCTCTCCTCACCGCTCTGGATTGCCTCTGGAGTGGGCAGCAGGTCCACCTGGGTTGTCCGCTGTGCCCAGACCCCTTGCCAGATTCTGAGCACCTAGAAAGCCCCCCTAAGGGAGGTGCCCGAGGGGAAGCCCAGAGCTCCCTTCCCTGGAGGAGGAGGTGCTTTTGAGCCTGACTAGGGACAGGGAAGATTGGGTAGAGGGTGCTGTGGACAGCAGGGTGGCTGAGAGTGTGACAGGAACGGGGACTCCAGCGGGAGGATGTGCTGTGTTCCAGGTCCTTGGGGAGCGCGGGTGAGGGTCCGGCTAGGATGCGTGTGGAGCGCCAGGCTGAGGAGTGAGGCATCCCTCCTGCAGGCGTCAGGAAGGAGGGACAAGATTGGACAGTCCACTCGGCACGGCTGCCTGCTGCGGCTCCCTCCCGCTGTGGGCTGCCCCTGTGCTCCCACCCAGGGCAAAGGGGACCAGAGAAGGAAGCCACGGCCTGGGACCTTAACTGCTCCAGAGGAGCGGTCACAGGGGCCATGGGGATGCCTTGGTGGGGGAGCAGGCCCGGGGCAGCATTTCTGCTTGCCCGCCCCGCCCCGGCGATGGCCCTGAAGGCACCTAGGCGGGCCAGGTACGGCGTGCAAAACAGGCAGCGCTGCACGGGGGCAAGGTGAGCAGGAGCTGAGGGGGCGCGGCCGAGGGGGCACAGAGGGAGGACCGTGAGCCCCAGCCCATCTGCGTTTCCATAGCTTGGCTGCGCCCTTCTGTGTCGCCCCTCTGCTCTCCTTCCTCATGCCTGGCACAGAGAGGCACCCACCAGAACTGCTCAAGAGGCTTCCTGGGGTGGCGTTCTGCCCTCTGCCCTCCCGAAGCAACAGACTCGTCCCCTGCATGCTCCAGGCACGGGCTGATGGGTTGCTTGCACTGACCCCTTTGGAGCTTGGGGCCAAGGCTCCCACCAGCCAGGCATTTCACTGGTTCCCAACCCAGAGCTTAGCCCTGCCGGCCCGGGTAGGCCCTGGCAGCCTCGAGCAGCTGGATTCCCCGGGGAGATCGGCAGGTCCTGATGGCCGTTGACAGTGCCAGCTGGACACAGCCGGGGTTTGTGGAGGTCACATGCTGAACGACTCCTTCTAACGTTTCTCCCCTCTCTGCATGTCTGATCTCGCACCCCGTGTAGGCATGACGAGTATTCTGATGTCAGCCATTGGACTCCCTGTGTGTCTTAGCCGCGCACCTCAGCCCGCCAGCCCTCCCGTCTCCTGTCTGGCCTCTAAAAGTCACAGCTCAGTTAAGAGATTGAGGAAAATGTCCATGAAAGGTAGTTCCTGCTCACAAATACTCTCTGGCCTCTGCTAAGCCTCCTCCGAGTCTCGCTGCCTCTGACTCTTCTGCACCGATCGCTCTTCTCTGACCACCACGGCCCTCTGCCGCTTCCTTTGAAGGGCCAGCCCATGTGGGGCTGCTTCAGAGGGGTCCCCCAGTGACCACTGCCCTGGCCGTCACACGGCCAGGGAGGAAGGGGTTTCAGAACCGTTGGAAGGTGCTGTGAGTTTTAACAAAACTCAGGTGGAGGGGCCTGTGGGTAGTAAGTTCTAAACCTGCCATTTCTAAAGCCGATGATGGCTCTGCTTCCATCGTTGGGCCAGAGAAGTGTGACTGCTCTGGTGAACTTCAGGATGGTGTGAGAGGGGGCATGGCTCTGGCTCCGCCAGTCCTGGGTTTCCAGGGCTCACGGGCTCTGTGAATTCACACAAGCCTCCCGTTCATGAGCGGAGCGCCTCCTACAGGGCAGGTTGGTTGTGGGAGGAATAGGAAGTAAATAGCTCGGGAAGCGCCTGGCACATAGTACTAGTACGGTGGTTGCTCTGATCCTGTTCACTGCCTGTCTAAGCCCCGCCCAGCGGGGGAGGAGGGAGGCCAGGGAGGGGCGGGGCTAACCCTGCCCAGCCCCACTCCACCCCTAGCAGTCGCTCCTGCCCTGCTCCCCTTTCTTACTCTGCCTCAGAGGCCGGCAGCTTCCTGAGGCACTCGGGTTTGCCCCAGGAAAACAAGGCTCTCAGCAGACGCTCTGGCCTTCCTGGGCTCGGATGTCCCTTTCATGGGGTAGGTGGTCACCTGGCTGGCTCCCTTTGAGAATAGTGGCTCCTGGAGAGTTACCTCCAGTTCTGAAAGGCTGCCTGGGCACAGGCAGGCAGGAGAGGAAGGGGTGCTGAGCCAGGCCTCACCGGAGGGATCCCAGGGTCCAGCTGGAGACGGGCCTGTCCCCAGTTGATGTGGCCTTCTAGACCAGTCTTTTCTAGAAGGCCTCCCCCCTCAATCAGAATAGAGTCCCAGCCAGCAGGATGGCCACCCGGTGCCGGTGGGGACTGTGCTTTTGCCTGGCTTTCTCCCCAGTGACCAGAGTCAGGGTCCTAGAAGTCTGTGTGTATGGGGGTGCGTGTGCGTGTGTATGGGGTGCGTGGTCTTCCTTTGCCTCTAGCTGTTTTTCAGGTCATAGCAGCTAATGCCCTTACAGTGATCACGGCTTTGGTTGGTATTAGGTCCACTTTTTAGATGAGAGGACTGAGACTCTCAGAGGTGACCTGATTTGGTCCCAGTCCAAGAGCCAGAATCCAACCTGACATCACCAGGTCCCTGCCCCTCTGCTCACCTCATAACTGGCCTTCTCTGGTCTAGAGGGAGCTCAGGCTTGTAAGTCTTTGCAGCCACAGGCTGATGGCCGTGAACTTGGGTTCACACCAGAGCCCCTCTGGTCTCAGGGTCTAGGACCAGGAGCTCCCCCTGACCTTGAGACAGGATGACAAGCCCTGCCGGGATCACTCTCCCCAGGCTGCGCTGGTCTCCCTGGTCCCTCCCCTCTGCTCCGCTTTGCTGTCCCTCTGTGATTCTGCGACTGCCTCTGCCTGGAGAACCCCTGCCACCTGCCATGCTGATTCTCTCTCTAGCTGGGGGCGTTTCTTCTTGGGGTGGGGCCTGTTTGGTGCAGGGCCTCCCCTCCGGGCTTCCTGCACAGGTGCACACAGAGGAGTGGGAGGTTTCGGGAGGAGGGGGCGGGGACAGAACTGTGGGCAGCTTAGGAATCGAGGAGGCATGTCACTGACACCCCACAGTCCAGGGACAAGCCCAAGAAGACTGGTTTGCTGTGGCCGTGTGGCCGTCATCTGCAGTTGGTGTGCACACAGATGCCCCCATGGGGTAGGCACGCACTACACACTTGACTCAGAAAACTTACTTCTCTTACCGAGACTTTCTTACAAGAATGATGAAAGCTGAGTAAATAACACGGCCAGAATGTGCTCCAGAGTATCTGTTTTAGAAGCTGCTGTTTGACTCTTCCGCATGTCCTCTGAAGCCTGGGACAGGTTTCCTGAGTGAAGGAGTGCAGGGCCCCGTCGTGGCTCCTGAGGGCTGTGGCCAGCTGCTGTCTCTGCCCCTCTTCCGTCTCCTCCAGGGCTCCTGGGGCCGGGCCCCCGGCATGGCCCGGGAAGGGCTCAGCCGGCAGAGCTCTGGAGCGTTCTGCGCCTGGCCCAGGTCTCTCCTCTCCTGCATGCTAACCTTCCCCTCTGAGCCGCCCTAACATCCCTCCCAGCAACTTGGACCGCTCCCTGTCGTCCTTTCTCTCTCGTTCCAGCATCTCCAGTTCGTTCTCCTCGGGACACCACTTATGTTCTTCTTTCTTTTAGGAGGGCCTCCAAAGCCAGAGCCAGAGCAGGTGATAAAAAACTACACAGAAGAGCTGAAGACGGCCCTGGATGAGGTGCGTGTCACGGGAACCACACTGCTTTTGGTTTTGTTTTAAAATGAGGGGTGGCTTAGACGAGGACGCCAGCCTGTCCCCTGCTGGAAGGTGCTTCCTGAGGAGCCTCTGGCCTCGTCCAGAGAGCTGTCCTGCCCCCCTGGCTGTTGGGAGGGCCGGTCGGGGTTCCTGTGGTTAACCCAGCCTGCCAGACCCCCGTCACGGCTGCACCTGGACCTCTCTCTGCTGAGCCTCGCTTCGGGGCTATGGCACCACTTTTCTCCGATTTGAATGGAGAGTCCTGGAGAATCTGGAGGGGTGGGGTCAAGGTCATTCGTGCCAGTCCAGAGCCAGGACTCTCTTGCCTCTTTCTCCTGCAAACTGAGTGCATAGGAAGCATCTGGTTGGTAAAGGTTTGGACAGAAACCTGAAAGTCATCCTCACATCGGCCCCTCCCTCCAGCCTGTTCTGCCCTCCCCCTTCACAGCTGTTTGTCTGTCTGTCTCTGCCCCTGTGCTCACCCAGCACAGCTGGGCTGCTTTGCCCCCCGCCACCCCCCCTCCAAGCTGCCGTCTACACAGTCGACACGTGGCCATGAAGACTTAGTATCCGCTGCTCACAACCTCTCAGCCGGGCCCCCGACGTGTAAGGCGAAGCCCCAGCCCCGAACGTGGCCGTCAGGGGCCACGTGGCCCCCCCACCTCGCCTTGTCTCCTGCACCCTGGTCACCCCTTGCCCTGCAGGTGTGCCGCCCCTCCCAGCTGAATCGCTGGCTCCTGCTTCAGAACGCTTCTCTCTACCCGAGGGCCCGTTCCCGTGCTTGTGCGTCTGACAAGTTCCCTTTCCCTTGTAAAGCCCAGCGCTGAGGGCCCCTCCCGTACTTACCTCTCTGCCTGGCTGTTCCGGCTGCCGTCTCCACCTGTGCTTCAGTTGTTACACTGGCCCCCATGCTTGGTGCCGCCTGCCATCCCCTCTGCTGTGGTGACGGTGAGCCCTCTGTGCTCCCAGCCTCCGGAACAAACAGCTGTCAGATTGAGTTAGACTGGGGTCAGGCACTTCAGCAGACGAAGGCCGGTCCTACAGGACTCACCCACTGTGGCACAGGGGCCGTGGGTGAGCATTCCCCGGGTTGGGTCTCCCTCCAGGACTGCATCATCTGTATGGAGAAGCTGTCCATGGCGTCTGGCTACAGCGACGCAACCGACAGCAAGACCTTCGGGCCGGTGGCTGTGGGCCGCTTGGCCAAGTGCAGCCACGCCTTCCACCTGCTCTGCCTGCTGGCCATGTACTGCAACGGGAACAAGGTACCCATGGCCCGCCAGGGCCAGGGGTGGGGGTCGGGGTCTCCTTCCCGCAGCCCGTCCCCGTCATGTTGCAGTTAAGCAGGTGACTGGGGCTGCCGTGTGAGGGGCCCAGGGCCCGCTCGGAGGCAGCCTGGAGATGTCTGCAGCCCTGGCCCTGCAGCAGGATGGAACTGGGGGTGGCAGGTGATGCCTGGCTGCCCTGCCTTTGGTGTAGTTTAGCCGGAGTGGACAGGTCAGGGGGACAGAGAGAACGAAGGCCCGTGGTGGGCCTTGGGGCCTGGCCTTTGCACAGTATCCCCGTGCCATCGTGTACCAGCCAAGATGCCAGCTTGTCAATCCATCGTTCACAGGGTTTTCTTTTTCATCTTAAACATGACTCGGCTGTGCAAGTTTCTGCTCATAAACCTCATTTTCTTACCTGATGCCAGTCTCTGGGTACCTTGTCCCTTTAATGAAAATTGCATGAGTTTCTGGGGTAAAACTTATCTTTCCAAGGAAGTTTCCGGAATCAAGTTTCTTCGCGAGGAGGCTGCCTGGGAGTTGGGCAAAGCGCCTGGGACCCACTGTGTGACTCGGGGCCAAACCCGTGTCCCTGTGGGCCTCTTTCCCATCTAGCCAGCGGGGTGGCTGGCCCGGGTGCCCTCTCAGGGGCCCCGGCTCAGTCCACGGCATTCTGCCTTGTCCCAGGATGGAAGCTTGCAGTGTCCTTCCTGCAAAACCATCTATGGGGAGAAAACTGGAACCCAGCCCCGAGGGAAGATGGAGGTGTTCACATTCCAGGTGTCCCTCCCCGGCCACGAGGACTGTGGGACAATCCTCATAGTCTACAACATACCCCATGGCATTCAGGTAAGGGGCCCCGGCAGAAGAGGAGCCTCCTCGGATCTTTCTGGAATCAGCCCTTCTCGGATGCTGTCCTTTCTCTCCCACCCCCTCCTAGCAGTCTGCGCACCCCGGATCACTGTGAAGGTGCCTAGGCTGCCAAGTCAGGCCACCAGCAACCAGGAGGCACTGGTGCTGGGGGCTAGAGCCAGCTCCTAGGGTTGTGGAAGCAAAGAGGTGGCCCTAGCCCTTTCCTGAGCCAGGGAGGGCTTCCTGGAGGCAGAGGCATCTTCACTGGACTTGTACTGGGTGGAAGGCCAGCAAGCGTCTAAGCAGGAGGAGTGCTTTTATTGGGCCGGCCAGCCGGCGAGCCCACAGGGGCAGAGCACAGGGTGGGGAAGGCTGGCTGGTCTGACTGCTCTTGAGCGACCCGCTCAGTGGCCTGATCCAGGCCTGCATGGGGCGTGCGGGTACAGGAACCCAAGCTCATTGGGGACCCAGACGGGAGCCCTGGTCCCTGAGGTCTCTGCCTTGGACCAGGGGGGCGGATCTCAGAGCCTGGGCAGGTTGGGAAGATACTGGGTAGTGGGGGCCAGGAGTCTGACGGGATGTCACTCAGTTTTGTCTAATTATGTGCTTCCCCTGGTTTCCCTCCAGTTCTCCGTGGCTCAGAGTGAAATTTAGAAACACTCCAGATAGCAGTAGAGCCACAGAGTGGGAGGGGACTTTGGAGTTGTACATGGCGTGTCACCGTGTGGCCGAGGGCACAGCAAGGGCTGTGCGCGGTTCCAGCCGCCAGCCTCTGTCCAGCCTGCCGCCACTGTCTTGGGCCCCACTCTGGCCACTTCTAGAGCGAGAGTGGAGGGGCTGTGTGCCCGAGTGAGGGTGTCAGGCGGCAGGCCCTGCCATCCGGTCCAGAGAGCCCCGTGCCCAGAGGGCCGCCAGCGAAGCAGGCACTTCCGTCCCAGCCTCTAAGGGGTCCGGGCTCTTCGGGGAAGTGGAGGGAGTTAGCCGGAGTGTCTGATGCCAGGCAGAGCGGCCTGGGTTCAGGGAGGGCAGTCGTGGGTGGGCGCCATGTTCAAGGTGGGTCTTCAGAGCGAGATGTGAGATGGCAGTTGATTTGGTTGGTCACTTGAGCGCAGCAGTAGCCCCACCTGGAAGGCGAAGGGGTGAGGCTGGGCGCCCGTGTCCAAGCATCTCTGCAGCCGGAGGGCCCATCAGCTCCCACTCCCCGCGTCTGTGTGCCTCCTGCAGGGCCCGGAACACCCCAACCCTGGAAAGCCGTTCACCGCCAGAGGGTTTCCCCGCCAGTGCTACCTTCCGGACAACGCCCAGGGCCGCAAGGTGAAGGCCCGGCCGATACCCCTGGGAGCAGCCCCCCCTTCCCCCCGGCTGGCAGCTCTGGGCCCAGCTGTCTGTGTGTAGTGGGAGGCAGTGGGGTGGGGAGGGCCCAGCTCGGCGGCCACACCAGAGCTGCCTCTGCTCACCTTCTTACTGCGACAGGCAGAGGGGGACGAGGCCTGGGGGCCGGCTGGGGTGTGGGCCACCCCTTCCCGGGGACCTGCTGTGCGTTAGGCGTCCCAGGTGCCCGGGGTCTAGGGAGAGACGAGCTGACCTCACAGGTGCTCCAGTGGGAGGACGGGATGGGGAGGCGCTGGGGCTGTTCTACCTGGGTGGTGGGGGCGGTGGCCTGCAGAGCCACCTCTGCACTGAGACCTGAGCTGGGACTTCCCAGCTCTCCGAAGGCCGGGGAAGAGGGTGCCAGGCAGACAGAAGAGCCGGTGTGGTGGCTTTGGGGTGGGGACAGCTCTGAGGGTGTGAAGAGGCTTAGGGGGGTGAGGGGGTGTCGGGGTGGCTGGCTGCTCTCCAGGCCAGCCCCGGGAGCTGGGCTTTGTTCTCAGTGCTTGTTCACAGCCACCTTCCTCCCCCCTCCCCGCCATTCCCTCCCCTTCCCCCCCTTCCTGCCTCCCCACCATCCACTCCCCCTCGGGCAGGTCCTGGAGTTGCTGAAGGTGGCCTGGAAGAGGCGACTTATCTTCACAGTAGGGACGTCCAGCACCACAGGGGAGACCGACACGGTGGTGTGGAACGAGATTCACCACAAGACAGAGATGGACCGCAACGTGACAGGCCACGGCTACCCCGACCCCAACTACCTGCAAAACGTGCTGGCCGAGCTGGCCGCCCAGGGGGTGACTGAGGACTGCCTGCAGCAGCAGTGAGCTGGGGGCACAGGCGTGCCCCACCCGGAGCCCAGGCTGCTCCTGCCTGCCTGTCCGCATCCCCCAGCTCCCCCCCACCCCGGGCCCAGGTCTGCATGGGAACTGGGCGAGCCTGGGAGTCATACTTGTGAGGGCTTCGGATGCAGCTACCTCAGTGCGTGGGCCCCTCCGTCCTCGGTGGGCCGCGTTGGGCCATGGGTGCTGGGGGCCCTGCAGGGGCTGAGGAGAGACTGCCTGCTGTGCCCCCAGCCAGGGGCAGGCCTGGGTCTGGGTCAGCTTCTCATACCTCAGATGTTCTATTTGCAATAAATGCCCTATAGCCAAAGTCAGCGGGCCCTGGTGGGTTTGTCAGTGGAGAGGCTGCGTGTGTGTGTGTGTGTGTGTGTGTGTGTAAAATATGATGTGTGAAGGCCAGCACACACGTGTCCTGCTGCGTCAGAACAGGAAGGGGTCTTACAGGCTGCCCATCCAACCCCCTAAATGAAGAAACCAAGGCTGCAGTGAGGCCAGGAGCTGGGCGCTGACCTGAGCTGCTCCCGGGCCCCGCCCCAGTTCTCCTTGCAGTGCGCAGTCCAGCAGCTCTGCCAGGGCCCCTCCCATCTCCTTCCCCAGGGTTCTGGCTTTCTAAGCACTGCTCACATGGGGCAGGTGCTGCTCTCTTCATTCTACAGGTGAGGAAACAGGTTCAAGGGTACAGTGACAGCGGTAGAGCCGGGACTGGAATCCCGGACAGGATTGATCTGACCCCGTCCTCAAAGTTCTCATCCTTCCCAACCTTCTTAGAAGGAGGATCCAATACTCACAGGCTTGCTGTCTGCCTGGCGGGGGTGAGTGTGGCCTGGGGCTGAAGAGACACACACCCGAGTGACATAAGGGATGTGGGGGAGGGGGTTTGCGGGAGGGGGTTTGCTTTCACAAGCCCTTCTTGTCATAAGAAAAGGAATGAAATTCTATGTTAGGACGCTCTAGTACAAAGATGAATATATGTTAGAGCATTTTCTTTCATCTAGAAGTTCCTTTTTTTTTTTTCTTTCTGATTTTAAAAGAAATTTAAGCATTTTTGTGGACCCCTAGCAGTATCGTGGGCCCTGGGCACTGTGCCCACTGCCTCGTGGAGAAGTTGGCTGGGGAGGGCAGGGAGGTCTCCATAGAGAAGCTGGACCCCAATCCTGTTTGGTTCCACGGTGAGACTCGCTCCACTGCTCACAGGGCACAGGAGTTGGGTGGGCACCCGAGTGCCAGCCTCATGCTCGGCTCCCACCATTACAGCACAGTGAGAGTCAGAATCGGAGAAAATGTTCGCAAATCTTATGCCTGATAGGGGTCTCATATCCAAAAAATATCAAGAACTCTTACAACTCAACAATAAAAAGATCCCCAATTTTTTAAAAATGGGCAAAGGACTTGAATAGACATTTCTCTGAAAAAGATATACAGATGGCTGACAAGCACATGGAAAATGCTCAACGTCATTAGGGAAACGCAAATCAAAACCACAAAGTGATACCACTTCATACCCATTAGGGTGGTTATTATAAAAAAAAAAGCAGGGAATAAATATTGGTGAGGATGTGAAAAAATTGGAACCCTCATCCACGGCCGGTGGGAATGTAAAATGTAGTCACTTTGGAAAACAGCTGGGCAGTGCCTCAAAAAGCAGTTACCAGGCTTCCCTGGTGGCGCAGTGGTTGAGAGTCCGCCTGCCGATGCAGGGGACACGGGTTCGTGCCCCGGTCCGGGAGGATCCCACATGCCGCGGAGCGGCTGGGCCCGTGAGCCATGGCCGCTGAGCCTGCGCGTCTGGAGCCTGTGCTCCTCAACGGGAGAGGCCACGGCAGTGAGAGGCCCGCGTACCACACACCCACAAAAAAAGCAGTTACCATATGACTCCGCAATTAAAACTACCAGGTAAATATCCAAGAACTGAAAACATGTCCACGGTAACACTCATAATAGCCAAAGAGTGGGAGCAACCCAAATGTCCATCAGCTGATGCACGATAAACAAAATGTGATGTATCCGTGCAACGCAATGCTATTCAGCCAGAAAAAAGAATGAACTATTAACACATACAACATGGATGAGCCTTGAAAACATTACGCCAAGTGAAAGAAGCCAGACAGAAAAGGATGCACTGTGTGATTCACTTTATATGAAATATCCAGAAGAGGCAAATCAGAGACAGAAAGTAACTTAGTGGTTGTCAGGGGGAGGAGGAATTGGGAGTGACTGTTTTAATGGGTACAGTGTTTCCTTTTGAGATGGTGAAAAGGTTCTGGAATCTGGTGATTTATGGCCAGTGAAATTTAAGAGGAAGTCTACAGGGGCTTCTAGGAAAGCTTATGTTTTTCTGATAAAAGAGACAGATTGGATAACACCTCCCTGCTCCTCCCTTCTTCCTACTTTGAGGATATGATGGCTGGAGCCACAGCAGCCATCTTGCTACAATGAGAAAAAGGCCAAGAGAGTCTCAGAGACCTTGACCCTATCGTCATTTGACCAAGCCCATGCCAGCAGCTGTCCTCCTCCAGGATTCTTGTAAATAAAAATAAATCCCTCCTTGTTTAAGCAAAACAAAAACAAGCCCCCCAAAAAAACCAAAGCCCCCAGAAAACAAAAACCACTGAACTGTACATTTTAAAATGACATGGTATGTGAATTATATCTCAATTTTAAAAACACATATAGGGAATTCCCTAGCAGTCCAGTGGTTAGGACTCAACGCTTTCCCTGCCGAGGGCCTGGGTTCAGTCCCTGGTCAGTCAGAGAACTAAGATCCCACAGGCTGTGTGGCACAGCCAAAAAAAAAATTTTAATATTTAAAAAATAAATAATTAAAAATTTAAAAATACATATATAGTGAGAACCCGTGGGAGTAATGTAAGTAGAGCAGGTGTCCCCAACCCCCAGGCCGAAGACCGGTACCCATCTGTGGAAAAATTGTCTTCCACGAAACCAGTCCCTGGTGCCAAAAAGGTTGGGGACCACTGAAGTAGGGGACTTGCCAGCTGTCAAGGGCTTTACAGTCCTTTCTCTGAGTCCATGTGATTTCTTTGGACGAAGGAACTGGGGAGTGAGGGAGGATGTGGCCTCGTGGAGGAAGGGCAGGGTGCAGAGATGGCAGCAGGGCCAGGGGCAGTGATGGGGCTGGCGTCAGAAAGGTTGGGGCTGCCCACTTCCTTCCCTGGGTGGGGATGGAAGGCCAAAAGGAGGCTCCTGGCACCTGGGGTGCAAGAATCTCTGGCATGTGGCCCTGAGCCCTTGTTTCCAGAGATCAGCCCTCCTCCCCAGGGCTGGGAGGCTGGGTGGGACCCAAATTCAGACATGGGCCTCTGGGGTGACCTGGCCTGCATCTTGGGGGTCCAATGACCTCTCTCGCTCAGCTCCAGTGGTCCTGCTCCTGCCTTCCTAACTGGCCCTGGCCTGCCCCACACCAGAGCCTTGCCCAGCTCCCTCCCCGTGGTGGGCTGGGCTGGGAGGAGGAGTGAGGGTGCACTTATATTTTCAGGTCTTTCAAGCCCTCGGCCAGGCCAGCGGGGCAGCCTGACTAACCAGCTCCTCCAGGCCCGCGGTGTTGGGGGAGGGGCTGAGGCCGAGCCCCAGGCTGTGGATGCGTGGGTGCTCTGCAGGCCATCATGGGGCTCCCTTGGAGGCAGCTGCACCCTTGTCTGCTGTTCCTTGTGGTGCTGGTGTGGCCCCAGCCCTGCATGAGCCTGGGTGAGTGGGGGTCCCGGGATGGGTGCCCCTGGCCAGATCCAAGGGGCTGGGGCACCTGCCGGGACCCTGGGAGCCCGCCCCCTCCGATTGGGAGAGGCAGCCCCAGGGGCAGTGGGCCCTGGACCCTCAGCCCTATCTCCACGGCCGCAGAGCTCATCCCCTACACGCCGCGCATAACAGCCTGGGACCTGGAAGGGAAGGTCACGGCCACCACGTTTTCCCTGGAGCAGCCGCGGTGTGTGCTGGAAGGGCATGCCAGTGCTGCCAGCACCACCGTCTGGCTGGTGGTGGCCTTCAGCAATGGTATGTCCTGGTGCAGGCCTGGGGCTGAGGAGAGCTGCAGGGTCCCTGGGAACCCCTCACAACTGGGTGTGGATTGGGAGTTTGGGCTTTATCCAGAGGGCGCTCTGAGAGGTGACAAAGTCTCATGTGAGGCATGGAGGGCCAAGGCTGGAGGCCTTGGACCCAGCCAGGGGCTGTGGCGAGGTCCCGTCCGCTCCTCCCCTCCGGCCCCAATCTGTCTGTCCCTCACTCCTGCAGCCTCCAGGGACTTCCAGAGCCCCCAGACGCTGGCTGAGATCCCAGCCTCCCCGAGGCTGCCGACGGATGGCCACTACATGACGCTGCCCCTGACCCTGGATCAGCTGCCCTGTGAGGACCCAGTGGGTGGCAGGGGGGTCGCCCCGGTGCTTAGGGTGGGCAATGACGCCGGCTGCCTTGCTGACCTCCAGCAGCCACGCTACTGCAACGCCCCCCTCCCCGGCCCTGGACCTTACAGGTGGGTCACCCAACCTGGACCTTGGGAGAGGGCTGTGCTGGGAGAGGAGGGGTTTTGGGGACCAGGGCTGCCCCCCACCCCAGCCTCTCCCCAGGCCTCTGTCCTGGCCAGTCCCCTTCCCAGCTGCAGGCGGAGCAAGCCCCTCCCCTTCACAAGCCTGGGTTTCTTCCTCTGTGGGGTCCGACCAGCTGGGGGGGCAGACAGAATGTGGTCCTTCCAGGAGGCCCAAGAGGAGGAGATGGGCATCGCAGAGCCGGTGGGGTGGGG